ACTTTAGACATTTTACTAACAGTAAGTAACTTTGCAACTACATGTCAACTAGAAGTCATTAGAGTATTAGTAGACTGTGCTTAATAACTTCTAACAATTTACTTTGATGGGCTCACAACATACAACATACTGACTATAAGAATCTTTGCAAGTATGTGTCAATTTATTCTACTAATCCTAAACCAATCACCTAACATTCTACTCTGAGAGTTAGTAGACATGTAGTTGCAAATTAATGAGAATTAGTTGACATGTAGTTGCAAAGTTACTTATATTTTGTTTCTCCCTGTTCTAACCTCTACACTTCTTGACAATGACTGAGACTGTATTGTTAGCACTTTTCCTGTTATTGCCTCCTAAAGATGAATTACTTTGTTGAAGGCTATTCTTAATTTTGAAGTCACCTTGATAGATGTGTCTGCTAAATAAATAATGTATATAAATGTACATGTATGGAAGTAAGTGGACACAAATTAGCAATACTGGACAAGTCTTTTTTTTTTTTTTTGTTATTCATTGTTTGTTAATATTCCAGTTTTTAAAGGAGATATATGCAAGAATTTCACGTATTAACCCCTTTTTTATACCCAAATGCATGAAAAGCTTGAAACAAAACCTAAAACACAAGCCATTCCATGACTTCCCCAGGCTGTCTAATGAATGCTTGAAAGCAGTTTTTATGTGAATAACTCGGGACATCTGGGAAAATCAAAAGGATGTGACGGTTGTGAGTACTTCCAAGAGTCTCCCTCCCATTCAGTGACACATGGAACAAGTGCTCTTAACAGTGTGGATGGCATTTGGATGTTTGTTAATAGTACATTGCTGTAACGGTATTTCCAACTTCTTTTAACTTCTAAGTGAAGAGTGAAAAAAGATCAGATTTTCGCCATGAGTATTGGGGCCTTGAATCACATTTAGTCTTGTGTGTTACGTGTGCACATGCAGTTTAATGGACATTGGTGTTGCTAATAACAAGGGTTTCTGAATTCCACGTATATCACCCGCCAAGAGCTTATTTTTTCATGTAGTACTTCCCTTTTAAAAGCTACAGAAGATACTTGCATTTCCCACAAGACAAAATAGGCCTAAGTATAATTTACCCAGATCATCCTGTTCAAAATCTTCACACCCCTCAGCTCTTAAATGCATCACGTTGCCTTTTTGAGCATCAGTAAATGTTTGTTGCACCTTTGGTAACAGTTGTTTATGAGTCCTTTAATTTTCCTCAATGTAAAATAATGGAACTCAAATACATACAGTATCTGTTGGAAAAAGTTGAAATATGCAAAAGATTCTGGAAAACCAAATGTGCAGGACCTGAAGGACTTGTCTAAAGGATTTTTTTCAGTTTGGAAAGCATTGGGTTAGTTCATGCTGATGTAACAAAAGTTCACTTCAAATCAGATGAATATAAAACATTTTGTTCTCAGGCTGTCTACTTTTCAGAATGGAGTGCCTGATCCTCAACCCACCACTTTGCCAACAAACGCTGAGAAGGCACTGACCTTGTTGAGGTGTTGTTGATGTGTACTCAAGCTAGACTAGAGTAATTCTGATGTGCCATAGCAGTGTTTGTGATATCAGAGCAGCTGCATTCACATTTCTTCATTGATTCTGCCACTAAGTTTGATTTGTGTCGTTTGTTGCTTCAAGTCCATCCTTAGAGCGCATATATTTTTATTGTAAAATTATACACACAAAAAACTGTGCACTTGTAAATTCTTTTAATATCTTTATTTTTCCCCCCTCCTTAGTCTGTACGTTGTCCTTCATTTCTGTGCTATATTGAATGTTCACAAACATTTCCCCTCATTCTTCAATTCTGGTGAAAAGAACCTCAGAATTGCAAACACCACAATCCGACACCAAGTAGTCATGTGGATGCCACAATTTACATTGAGCATTCAGTTTACTTAAAATTGAATGTTAGGTGGAAGACAAGTACATTGACACACTAACGTTAAGTTAAAAATAAATACTTTCAAACACGACAACAACAGCAAAAAAGAAAAAAATAATACAATCCCACAGGGATATATCATAACTTTTTCATACTACATAAAATTGTACATTTTTAAAAATGTTTTTCATCTAATTTTTATCAGAGAATGTCAGAAATACAAAATGGTATTTGAACACAACCATAATAATGGTACATCAAAATGTTAAATATTGTACAAAAGTTTTTCTATTCTTATTCTTTTAAAGCACTAATCAAAATCCATTAACAAACAAGGTGTTGGAACTACTATAAATGCAAGAGTGTAATTGGATGTACATGTCAGCAGCATGTGACACAGTATGTGGTCCTGAGAACAAGGCCTTGATTAATATATATATATATATATAACCAACCATCTAACCATCAACTGTGCAGCCCCTTTGTCAGGATAACCAAAGGCTGCATATCTTGAAGTTGCCTTAGCAGAAGTTCAGAAGAAGTGGATACGTTTTCATACATAACAATTTTAACATTCTTCACAGTCTCAATCTTTAGTGGATTTCTGAAATTAACAATGCATTGGACTTGATCGCTCTCTGGGATGATTGGTTGAAGTGTTCGCTGTCGTTTTGATTGATTGGATAGAGAGTCTTCACTGAACTTCAGGACGGATGTCTCAAACTCTGAAGGCTTATAAAGTTTTAGTGCAACTTCATGGTTCCCTTGAGAGTTTGACGAGTTCAATATGGATCCTGAGACTTTCAGCAAACATTTAACATGCTCAGCAGAGCAGTTCCGAAGACTTTGTTTTCTCTCGACACTGATTTTGTTTCTACATTCTGACTTCCGTGGACGACCCCTTTTCCGTTTGATTACTGGCATGGTTGTGGAAACGAAAGCTTCATTAACTACAACCTCCGTTGCAGGCTCTGGGCCTACATCTTGAGAACTGACCTTTGAATTCTCTGTTTGATCTCCATCAGAGACTGTTTCCGCAACCTCAACATTTTTTGAGGTGTTATCTGCTCTGGGCATCTCATTGCTTTTCTTGCAAAATATGAACTGGCTTCTCCGATCCTCAATGTACCGTTCTGTGAGACCGTGAGTGGTGTAATGTTTTATTATACTGTGCTCAGCACTCATTACTGAATCACAACTCTCAATCATGCACGGGTACTGTAAAGGAAGTCTTTCATTGCACATGGCAGATGCTTCATCGGTGGATTTAAGAGCAGGCTTTTCTATCGTCATCCAATGGTTTTGGGCCTTGTCCTCTCTCTTTTTTGAATTCTTCCTCTTCATTTTAATATTGTTATTTGCAATATTCTCTTTTCCATTGTTAGAACCTGCACTTAACTTTTTTGCTTGAACATCATCCCCAATCCCATTTTCTTGTTTCTTAACGTTAAGTTAAAAATAAATACTTTCAAACACGACAACAACAGCAAAAAAGAAAAAAAGAATACAATCCCACAGGGATATATCATAACTTTTTCATACTACATAAAATTGTACATTTTTAAAAATGTTTTTCATCTAATTTTTATCAGAGAATGTCAGAAATACAAAATGGTATTTGAACACAACCATAATAATGGTACATCAAAATGTTAAATATTGTACAAAAATTTTTCTATTCTTATTCTTTTAAAGCACTAATCAAAATCCATTAACAAACAAGGTGTTGGAACTACTATAAATGCAAGAGTGTAATTGGATGTACATGTCAGCAGCATGTGACACAGTATGTGGTCCTGAGAACAAGGCCTTGATTAATATATATATATATATATAACCAACCATCTAACCATCAACTGTGCAGCCCCTTTGTCAGGATAACCAAAGGCTGCATATCTTGAAGTTGCCTTAGCAGAAGTTCAGAAGAAGTGGATACGTTTTCATACATAACAATTTTAACATTCTTCACAGTCTCAATCTTTAGTGGATTTCTGAAATTAACAATGCATTGGACTTGATCGCTCTCTGCTCTCTGGGATGATTGGTTGAAGTGTTCGCTGTCGTTTTGATTGATTGGATAGAGAGTCTTCACTGAACTTCAGGATGGATGTCTCAAACTCTGAAGGCTTATAAAGTTTTAGTGCAACTTCATGGTTCCCTTGAGAGTTTGACGAGTTCAATATGGATCCTGAGACTTTCAGCAAACATTTAACATGCTCAGCAGAGCAGTTCCGAAGACTTTGTTTTCTCTCGACACTGATTTTGTTTCTACATTCTGACTTCCGTGGACGACCCCTTTTCCGTTTGATTACTGGCATGGTTGTGGAAACGAAAGCTTCATTAACTACAACCTCCGTTGCAGGCTCTGGGCCTACATCTTGAGAACTGACCTTTGAATTCTCTGTTTGATCTCCATCAGAGACTGTTTCCGCAACCTCAACATTTTTTGAGGTGTTATCTGCTCTGGGCATCTCATTGCTTTTCTTGCAAAATATGAACTGGCTTCTCCGATCCTCAATGTACCGTTCTGTGAGACCGTGAGTGGTGTAATGTTTTATTATACTGTGCTCAGCACTCATTACTGAATCACAACTCTCAATCATGCACGGGTACTGTAAAGGAAGTCTTTCATTGCACATGGCAGATGCTTCATCGGTGGATTTAAGAGCAGGCTTTTCTATCGTCATCCAATGGTTTTGGGCCTTGTCCTCTCTCTTTTTTGAATTCTTCCTCTTCATTTTAATATTGTTATTTGCAATATTCTCTTTTCCATTGTTAGAACCTGCACTTAACTTTTTTGCTTGAACATCATCCCCAATCCCATTTTCTTGTTTCTTTTTCATAGTTTCAAAAGTAGCATCATGTTTCTTCATAAGATGTCGAAGAAGGTTTGACTTGGTTGTATAAACCCGGTCACAACCTTCGAACTGACACCTGAATGTGAGGTCCACGCTCTCAAAGTCCCCATCCGCTGAAACCTTTATTGCTTTGTGATCATTTTTTATATGATCAATGTACTTCAAATGACACGTGAAGTGAGCAGAACATTTTGACTGGTCGCACTGAAACGTGCCTACCTCAACACCGGATAACAATGCACTTGCCTTTTCCAATGTGCATCTATGGAGTAAAAGATAGTGTTTCAACAAACTGGTAACTTTCGACACTACTTTTGAGCATTGTTTGACTTGGCATCTGTATTCCTGCACTTGGACAACTCCATCAGTTTCTTTAGCACTGTCTTTGTTATCACATTCTGATTGATGCATAGCCCTATAATGGAGGATAAGATTTTGTTGGATTGAAAAGGCAGCCACACATCCTTCATGCACGCATCGGTATGGCCGGTACACAATTTGTGCATCACTTGAATCACCAAAATCAATATTGTCTACTGGCATTTTAGCTTTCTCTTGAAGATCAACAATCACATTTGAATTTGTCTCAATTTGTCTGTTAGATTGTGGAGTTGCATATTCTGTTCTGTTGTCTGGAGCATTAATTGTGTCAAAGAGATACGGACTTCCACCACTCAGCTCTTGCATTGCAAATATACCTGGCTCATTTAATTCACGATTCTCTTCAGTCAGAGAGGGGCCTTCTAGTTTTACATTTGTGGCTGAAAACCCATCAAGATTTACTACACTTTTCTGTGACACTTCCACAGTTCTGCAGGTGTCAGTGCTGGCAACTGTAAGGGAGTTTTGTGTGGAGCATTTATTTTTTCTTTTGGCAACAATGCTGGCTTTTCCTTTAACATTTGAATCAACAGATATAACGGTAAAATTTGTATTGATCTGGGATTGAGACTGTTCTGATAAGGAGTCATTTCCCTGGTCGATGACAAGACTGGTATGCGCATTTTCTGACACATTTTCTGTTGATTTTCTGATCTTTCTATAACCAAGTCCGATTTTCAAGCCAGACAATTCCTCTTTTGAAAAATGGTGGACATTTTTGTAGTGAATTTTAAGGCCTGTGGTTCTGGTCTTCCGTGGACGACCCCTTTTCCGTTTGATTACTGGCATGGTTGTGGAAACGAAAGCTTCATTAACTACAACCTCCGTTGCAGGCTCTGGGCCTACATCTTGAGAACTGACCTTTGAATTCTCTGTTTGATCTCCATCAGAGACTGTTTCCGCAACCTCAACATTTTTTGAGGTGTTATCTGCTCTGGGCATCTCATTGCTTTTCTTGCAAAATATGAACTGGCTTCTCCGATCCTCAATGTACCGTTCTGTGAGACCGTGAGTGGTGTAATGTTTTATTATACTGTGCTCAGCACTCATTACTGAATCACAACTCTCAATCATGCACGGGTACTGTAAAGGAAGTCTTTCACTGCACAAGGCAGATGCTTCATCGGTGGATTTAAGAGCAGGCTTTTCTACCATTATCCAATGGTTCTGGGCCTTGTCCTCTTTCTTTTTTGAATTCTTCCTCTTCATTTTAATGTTGTTATCTGCAATATTCTCTTTTCCATTGTTAGAACCTGCACTTAACTTTTTTGCCTGAACATCATCCCCAATCCCATTTTCTTGTTTCTTTTTCATAGTTTCAAAAGTAGCATCATGTTTCTTCATAAGGTGTCGAAGAAGGTTTGACTTGGTTGTATAAACCCGGTCACAACCTTCGAACTGACACCTGAATGTGAGGTCCACGCTCTCAAAGTCCCCATCCGCTGAAACCTTTATTGCTTTGTGATCATTTTTTATATGATCAATGTACTTCAAATGACACGTGAAGTGAGCAGAACATTTTGACTGGTCGCACTGAAACGTGCCTACCTCAACACCGGATAACAATGCACTTGCCTTTTCCAATGTGCATCTATGGAGTAAAAGATAGTGTTTCAACAAACTGGTAACTTTCGACACTACTTTTGAGCATTGTTTGACTTGGCATCTGTATTCTTGCACTTGGACAACTCCATTAGTTTCTTTAGCACTGTTTTTGTCATCACATTCTGACTGATGCATAGCCCTATAATGGAGAATAAGATTTTGTTGGATTGAAAAGGCAGCCACACATCCTTCATGCACACATCGGTATGGACGGTACATAATTTGTGCATCACTTGAATCACCAAAATCGATATTGTCTACTGGCATTTTAGCTTTCTCTTTAAGATCAACCATCACATTTGAATTTGTCTCAATTTCTCTGTTAGATTGTGGAGTTGCATATTCTGTGCTTTTGTCTGGAGCATTAAGTGTGTCAAAGAGATACGGACTTCCACCACTCAGCTCTTGCACTGCAAATATACCTGGCTCATTTAATTCAATAACATGTTTCTCTTCAGTCAGAGAGGGGCTTTCTAGTTTTATATTTGTAGCTGAAAGCCCATCAAGATTTACTACATTTTTCTGTGATGCTTCCACAGTCCTGGAGGTGTCAGTGCTGGCAACTGTAAGGGAGTTTTGAGTGGGGCATTTATTTTTTCTTTTGGCAATTATGCTGGCTTTTCCTTTAACATTGGAATCAACAGAGGTAACTGTCAAATTTGTACTGATTTGGGATTGAGACTGTTCTGACAGGGAGTCTTTTCCCTGGTCGATGATGAAACTGGTATGTGCATTTTCTGACACATTTTCTGTTGATTTTCTGATCTTTCTGTAACCAAGACCAATTTTCAAGCCAGACAATTCCTCTTTTGAAAAATGGTGGACATTTTTGTAGTGAATTTTAAGGCCTGTGGTTCTGGTAAATGTCTTCGAACATAGATGACAGTTGTAAGGTGCTAATTTGTCAGGGTTTTTCTTCATTTCATTTATCCTTTCCTCACTGTAATCATGTACACGGCTAAGGTGTTTAAATAAAGCTTCTTTTGTCATTGCTCCATAAACACAGCCTTCTTTACATCTAAAGGGCTTTAAAAAACATTTCTGCTCATTTTGTACAGGATCTTTAATTGTGTGACACTGATCATTTCTGGTGACAGCTTCAGAGCTTAGATCATGCAGGTTAATGCTCACAGATACACATTTGTCTTGACTAAGTATATCAACTAAATCAAGACGCTGTAGTGCCCTTTCAATTTCTATGATTTTGCCATCTTCACCAGTATTTGCAGGGGTGAATTCAACTTCAGTTTTGATTTCTGTGCCTGTGTTTGTTACAGGTGGATGGAAGAAACTGTCATTTCTAGTCATTTCAGAGGGGTCTTGAGAGGACATAGTGTTCTGGAGGCTGTCTGTGCTATGCACGCTTGTTAAAGTGTTCCCATTAAAGATATTTGATTCTGATGGTGCATAGATGCAGGATTTGTGATTGTGCTCATGTATGTCATTCGCAGGGAGAGGCATTTGCACCGTTGAAATGTCAGGATCATTCAGAAAATCAAGAAATGATACTGGTAAATCAGCAGTAAGATCAATTTCATCAACAGGTTTGCACTGAGAACGTTTTGATAAATGACCTCCTAGTGACTTTGTGCTTGAAAACTCTCTATAGCACCTGCAGCAAATTACTTTCCCATCCTGTATTATGGCAGGCCATTTTGTTCTCTTAGATGGTTTAATTTTTTTGGATTTCCCAGTTTCTCCAAAACCTGAAATGTTCTGGTCATCTGAAGCAATTCCTTCAGTTCCTTCCTGTGACAGTTCATGATTACATAAATCTTCTGGACTTTTCTCATCAGTCAGGGGGGCAGCACCAAAGAAATCTTCTCCCGATTCCTTAAATTGAGGGTTTAAAAGATTCGACATACATTTGATATCTGATGAGAATAATGCATCGGTACTATCAGTGCTGATTTCTTTGTTTGAATTTGCCAATGGCTGCACTGAAATAGAAGTTTCCTCGGAAGGCAAAGTTGAAAAATATAGGCTGACATTGTGTCCAGAGAATGATCCTGTTGGCAGCAAACCAGTGCTGATGGAAATATCATTGAGATGGTTTTGTCCAATTTGACTGAATCCAGGATTAACACTTGACTCAACCTGTGACAAGTCACAAGTCTGATCGCTGTTAAGTGCATGTAGTACTCTAAGAGAGCTTGACACATATTTTGCTTCGTTCATCACACTGGAGGGTGTGTGGGCATTCACAGAAAGGGGGATGATGTCATCGTAAGATGAGGGAGATGCATAATTTAAGACTGTGTCAGAATGGTATGACGGGTTTGTGTGTTGGTTGTCAGATAAAATCGTAGAGCGGTAAGGATCATTTACAGAAAAACCTGAATCCAGATTTTCCATTGAGGGTGTTTCCCATGTCTGAGTTATTGGTAACTGCATCAGACCTGTCGGGTTTGGTGATGTTGCACTTTGAGTGTTTTCAAGCTGAGAGCAAAACTTGGCACTTGCAGACTGCATACTATCGTGATTGGAAAAAGCAGAAGAAGGACTTTGAATCACTGAGTCCAGAAATGCAGTATGTTCAGTTTGTTTGGAACGGCTTGTCCATTTTGGTATCTGAGAACTAGCGGTTGTGTGCTCAGAAGATTTTTTTGCAGCAATTTCCGCAATCCGTTTGTACTTCTTTGACAGCTTCCACTCCTCAAAGGCCTCCGAATGAACATTTTTGACATGTCTCGATAAACTTTTTGAGGTGCTGTATTTCCGTGTACAGGTTTCGAATGGACACACATGAGTCAGACCTTCTTCTCTGTTGGCTTTTGTCACAGAGAGAGATGACTTCAATGTTGAAGGCTCAAGCTGACTCTGTGGGAAAGAAAACAATTTCTTGTCTTTCAAGAGTGTTTGAGTTTCACAGTCAGTATTCTTTAGAGAATTTAAATATATTGGATCATTGCACTTGATGGGAATAGGCTGCAGTTTTACAAAGCATGATTCAAGATCCAATTGCTTTGTTCTCCCAAGACAATGAGATGTCTTCGATCCATCAGGCTGAGTAGCATTAGTTTGGGAATCAGTTTTGCTTACTGTCAACTTAGCTGTTCCTGATACAAGGTGCTTAGGTTGTTCTGTGGAATCATGAGTGTCTACTATGTTTTCAACCGTGCATTTCATTTCTACTGGGGTAGACTCTTGAGAAATCTCTTTAATTTGGCTTGGAGGCAACTCTAAGGCAGGACAAGTCGAAGCTGGTAATTCCAGTTGAGAAGGTGAGCCCACATCAACAGCAGAGCGGTCCTGCTTTGTGTGTCCTTTCTGATGCAAATTTAGCTCAGACAGGGTGTAGAACACCTTGTCACAGTTATGACTTTTGCAGGAGAACAACATGTAGTGCTGCGCTTCATGATCATATAGCAAGTATGTCTCGTTGAATATTCTCTCACAGTTTGGATATGCACACTGTGCCTTAAATTCAGCATGTTCTTTTCTGTGTATCAGAAGCTCAGCATGGGAGGAAAAGCTGCAGTTACATCCAAGCTGAATGCAAAAATAGGGCTTCTCACCACAATGCATCTGTAAGTGATCATTAAGATGGGTCACATTAACAAACTGGCGGTGACAATATTGGCACAAAGCCTTCTGGCTCTGTATTTCAAGGAAATGTGTTGCTTCCCGCTCATTTTTGTGGGCCTTAACATGTGCAACCAAATTCCTGAAGTACTTAAAAACTTTCTGACAGCTTGTAACAGGGCAGGAACAAAGTTTAGTGTTGTTAACATCACGAATAGGGTTGCCCTGTTTTGGGGATGATGACTTAATTTTACTTTTCACATTTGTGATGGGACTACCATTTGAAGCATACAGATTATTGTAAATTGTCCCTTGGCTAACTATTGCAGCAGTTTTGCTGTAGTGCTCTTCTCTGCTATAGTGCTCTTCTGCTCTGCTCGAAGTACTGTTAGCTGCTGTTAACTTGGTGTCAGAACTGGGACGTTTCTTGCTCACACCCATAGCAGCAAGGCGCTCCTTACATGACTGTTTCACATGTGATGCCACATGAGGCTCTAGAATTGCTCTAGTTTCAAAAGTCTCAGTACATATTGGACAATGGAAAATCCCATCTTGGACATGCTTCAATGCATGCTTCACAATCCTGTGTCCAAGGAACTCTTTATCACACAAAACACAATACTGCATATAAGCTTGCCAATTGCGGAATCGAGCAGAAACAAATCCCCTCTCTCTCATCTTCTTCATTTCCTTTTTCTTCTTTCTTTCTTCTTCAACCTCACCGAGTTCATAAGTAGGACTATGGGTAAAATGCAGATGTCTAAAATATTTCTCATCAAGGTCATGGACTTCATTGTCTTCACTGTCAGTAAATTTGTCAGTAGACAATATAGCTGCTGCCTCCTGACCCATCAAAGCAAGGCATTGACGTTTTAGGGTTTTCCAGTCCCAGAACTCTGGATCGAAAGGCCACTTAGTCTTTAAGGCCAACAACAGGTCACAGCGTAGTGAATTTAGAATCGGTGGATCATCCTGCTCAAGCTTTTGGTCGGGCTCATTAAAGAGAGTCTCAACAGCATAATAAGAATCCAAAGATGGCTTTATCAGGAACTCAGTGAGTTGACAAGCCTGTTTTACTTCCAAGTCTAAAGGCAGCAAACAAGAGATTGTTTTGCAGATGGAGATATTGCAGCCCTCGTTATCACTGACTCCCATTTTTAGTGCTTGAATGCACATTTCGATGCACACTGAAAGTCCACCTTTCTCAACCTGAGGAAACAAAAATGTCACTGTCACCTGAATGCCATTGCCTTGATTTCCAAAACACATTGACATAAAAACAAAAACTTTTCTAACCTCAGCCTGAATGACTTTGATGAGGAGCAGAATATGGTACACACTCCCAGAGAGGCGTGCTAACAGTCTGCATTGCTCCAAAAAGGCCTGTTTTGATTCAAGCCGTATAAGAAGTTTACTCCAAAACAGTGTCAGCTCCCTGTAAGATGTACAATATAAAATGATAATCATAATTTGTACAAAATTGTTCAATTATTTTCATGCAAGCTCAAGAGAACTCCTGTTAAAATCAATCAAGCTGTCTACACTGCACAATAAATCTCTTATTCACAGCGTATATGTCTTGATAATTAAAATGGGAACACTGGTGAGAGTGCAGTCAGTGAGTTTGCACAGTCATCCGGACACTAAAAGAGCTAGCGCTAAGCAAAAAGATCTTCAGTGGTTTTCTTTCACGCCAGTGGACACATCATAAAACTTCTTTAGTGTCAGGTGATGTTTCTTCACCACACATTACACAGTGTGGTGTGTGCATAATTAAGCACTTCAATATTCTGATCATACAATTTTTCCAAGCACATTTTACCGATGTACCAAATTCCAAACCACAGCGATCCTGATTACTATTAAGTAGGGATGTCCCGATCAGTTTTTTTGTGCCCCAATCCAATCAGATGATACATAAAAGATCTGCACACTGTTATTCTCCCTTTATTTAGCAAAAGTTAAAAGTGGCAAACACACATATATACAAAAGCCTTTGTTGTTTTTCTCTTCCATCTTTATTTGACCCTCTAACTCTAGCACTCTCCATTTTAATTCTATTCTTTAAAAAAAAATAGTCCCTTTTAGACTTGTACTCTATTAATTTACAAACTGCTTTTCTTAAAAAAAAAAAACTAACACCAGCTTCTCTAATCTTTTTGTATTCCATCTATTTATTTTGTTTTTATTTATTATACAATTAACAAAAGCAAAAAAGTCCTCTAACACTAGCTTGCTCTATTCTTTTTCTATTCTATCGGTTTCTTTTTTATTTATTATATAATAAAAAAAAAACTTGCTACGTGTACTGCGTTAAGCTAACTGAGACTTGTTATAGCACTTGCATATCATTGCTCTTTTGATGATTTTGATTGCTTCCATTGTCCTCATTTGCAAGTCGCTTTGTATAAAAGCATCTGCTAAATGACTAAATGTAAATGTTTACCTGATAAAGGTCTTTGACAGAAACGGTGCCACCTTTAACTTCTGCTAAATAAAGGGAGAATAACTGTGCAGATCTTTTTTGTATCATTTGATGTACCCTTTGATCTTGCACCTGGCCAAGATGTTTTGGATGTGCATACTTTGACCTTTTTTCCCAATCTGATCAGTCATTGAATATTATGCATCTGCCGATACCGAGTCCCGATCCGATACTTGTATATTCCTAGTGTTTTTTGCACAATTCAAGTACATTAAAGTTATTAAAATCAAACCAATGTATACAGAGTTGTGCAGAGAGTAAAAATAATGTATGTGTATACATACCTATAAGATACACACTCAATATGTATATATCTGCACATACTGGAAGAAGACATTGGTAGAATATGTGACTACTGATGTAAACTTCTTGTATTTTATATATAAAATAAGTAAATAATTGCAACAAAGATAAAAAAAAGTGGAGATATGGTTAGAAAGCATGAAGCTCGTGGTGTCAGAATGCCAGTCTGTCAGTCAAATCTGAACAAAGACGCAATCCATAGCAACACGTTATGGCAACGACGTCTCAGATAGTCTGACAGCAGATAAAAAATTAATGAATGAGTGATCGTTACAAAAGTGAGCATCAAATACATTGAGCACGGAAGCTCAAATGTGTGTGAGGCGTTAAAACAGACCTTACAGATACTCATGTCACGCATGCACATTTCTTCTTCTTTTGGTTTTAATGGCAGCTGAACAAAAACATTTGAGCGTCTTCTTTTCCATTTAATGGGGGTTGGCAAATCTACTGGAAGGCGAACACCTGCTGCACAACACTGGTATGACAGCTGAAGTAAAATAAGGATCGGGCTTAGGAGAGCCGATCCCGATCAGTTAAAAGTAATGCCTGATTGGCCCCGATCCCGATCCTTGAGATCGGCTTAGGACATCCCTACTATTAAGGTCATAAGTAATTGTATGGTGCAAAACTAGAGAAATTTCAAAATTAAGGCACAAACATCATTTAATTACATGCTCACTGGGTCAACAGGGTCACAAAATCAGGTTGAGAAGAACAAACATATCTCTAAAATTAAGAATTAAGGCAAAGAATTAAAGAACTCCTTAATTTTCAGCGCCACTATTTTCCAGAACTGCAAACTACCTTACTTGCTTTCACTTGCTTTTATTTAAGATGTATTCAAAAATACATTAAATAATAGAGACATTGCTAGCAAGTAAAAAATATAGTGAAAATATCTAATGTAGTGCATATGTTTAGCTCATCTTTAGAGTTATTTTTTTCTAGCTAACAAAAAAAGATATAGACATTGAATGCATTTCCTACGGTAAATGTAATATTATGTGACATATTTACAAGCTGTTTTATTAATGTTTTTTAGTGATTAAACGATTACATGAGAAATTACACATGGAAAATTACACAATTTGTACTGCTTCATTCAACATACTTTGTGACAGGGGTGTCCAATCCTGCTCCTGGAGGCCTAACGTCCTGCAGCGTTTAGCTCCAACCAGCAATACACTTGTCTAGAAGTTTTTAATGATTCTGAAGACCCTGATTAGCTGGTTCAGATATGTATAATTAGGGTTGGAGCTAAACTCTACAGAGCAGTGGCCCTCCAGAGACAAGTTTTGGATCTGTCAAAGTGACAATTATAGTTTGGGATTTAAGAATTAATACTGATTCATCAAAATAAAGATCAACTAAATATAATTAAATATCATCTATAAATGACTGTATATATACATACAGTGCACAGCATAAATGAGTACACCCCCTCTGAAACTTAAATTCAGTAATTACTCTTTACTTAGAAGACATGTTAGAGTTCTTTAGAGATATAATATTCCAGCAAGTCTGCTTGATCAGTTACCAGAGATGAATGTTAAAATTATTCAGGAAAACACAATTTTCTTATCAGTGATAAAAATGTTTTGTTGCAAAAATGAGTACACCCTCCTGAAAGTTACAAAATAAACTAAATAAAAATGTCTGGTGTAAGGTTTGATCAACAAGTATGTTGAACCGAAACTGTTAAAGATAATTTCTTCAAGTCTTCAGCAAGTCTTAGAATGATTCTAAGACTTGCTGAACACTATGAAACCACTTAAGAGAAAACTGTCAGGAGATTTATTTCTTAGCATAAAAGAGGACAATGGTACTAGAGGAATACCGAATTATTGTTTTAAGTGTGAAAATATAGCAAAAGTAATACAGAAATTCAAAAACAATGTACTTGTGAACATGCCCCTGAAATAATTAGGTTTTCACCTAATTTTCACCCAAGCTTTCATTTAGTGATGAGTGAGTTTTTGCTAGAAAAAAAGCAGGAGAAACACCAAGAAAGTGTCTCAGAACCGGCAAAAGCTATGAAATGAGTGACACTTAATCTCACAGAGTAAGATGCAGCCTGCAGAAGTGACATGCATGGTTGTTTATCCACACCAGAACTAACTACTGTAGCCAAAGCACAATAAACTCATTTAACTTTTTTCAAGGCCCATATTTACAAAATATAGACTTCTGGGAATCAATACTCTGGTCTCATGAGACCAAGTCAACCATTTCGGATCTAACAGCGTCCAAAATGTTATGGTGTTGCTAGAGAAGACGTACAGTGAGAAGTGCCTAGTTCCCACAGTGACGTTCAGTGGCAGTAAAGCTCTTCTATAGGGATGAATGTGTGCTGAAGGTGTGAGGGAGTTGTTTTATCAACGCATTCATGAATTCACACACCACTGTGTGATGTAATACAAAAACCTGAAACAGAAGAAGTTACCCTCTCCTCATTCCCTGCATTGTTGGGCATTTTTTCAACATGACAATGAAGATATTCATTCTCCCAAGGTGAAAATCCTTCAGTGGACATATATTTCACTGTGGGGAGCAGTTGTGGGGGATTCTGTAGAGACGAGCTGAGCAACACTCCCCATTAAAGACCAGGGTCCGTATTCACAATACATCTTAAGGCTAAAAGTAGCTCATAACTTGCTGATTTAGGAGAAAATCTTAAAAATAATGGGCATGCCAGTCCTAAATTTAGGACTCCTACATTTGTGCTCTAAGAAGAGTATTTTACAAAGTGTTTTAGTGCTAAAACTAGCTCCTAAATCTGTGAAACGTTAGGAGTAGTGAAGAGGACTCCTAAGTCACTAAGACCGAACCACAACTATACTAAAATGGCTGTTGCCGGCAATCTGCCTTGTAACGTAAACAGTTTAGAAACATTTGGCGATAATGCACTTTTAAAAAGGTATCGCCTTTGGTTTTGGCTGTTATATCAACTCCAGATTTTCCTTTGATCATAGCCTATCCTTGTTTTCATTAACCAGTTGGGCAAGAAGTAACAGCTGTTCTTGCGTCCAGTTTGGTTTTCTTTTACGTTTGCATGTCTTACTATCAGCCATGATAATTCTACTGTTAATTAAAAGGCTGTTTATATGCATATCTGCTAATTGTTTACGAGAAGCATACATGTAAGAGGCTGACAATTAGCTGAACATATACTTGTTTAATTAATGACACTTAGCCTGCATTTTAAAATCATTAGTTGAATGTGGAAAATTAACATTTTTATTTTTAAATCTTTATTTGAATATGGCAACATAATATTGTGCTCTACAATATTTCTATGAATAAATCTTTGAGAGACCCCTGCCCTATCAGCCAATCACTGTGTGCATAGTTGGTAAGCATGCTGACATCATCCATAGCAACGAGGTCAACCCCGCCCTTACTCTTAGCTTAAGACCTCTCTCTATTCCTTAGTTAAAGTTTGTCTCAGCGGCTTTGTTAATAGGTTTTAAGAGAAAACTGTTAAAAACTTTTAAAAAGCAAAAAACTTTTACTGCTATTTAGGAGAACCCTTAGTGGTAAGATAAAATGTTTTGTGAATACAGGCCCAGGGCATTTAAGGAGGTTGTCCTCCAGGAGTTAAGCAGGACAGATGTGACAATTTGTCATGAACTTGTACACTCAGTGCCAAGAAGGGTCAGAGCAGTGTACTTAGAGTTATGGAGGACATATTAAGTATTAGAATATTACACTTTGTTGAATTAAATCTAGGGTGTACTCATTTCTGTAATCCTTCATTTAAACAAAATTGGCTAAGTTACTTGTTTTACAGATATTAATGGCATTTATTTCTGTTTTTAATAAGAATATGTTTAATACATTTCAATTTTGCCATTTTTCTATGTACACTCAGTGCCAAGAAGGGTCAGAGCAGTGTACTTAGAGTTATGGAGGACATATTAAGTACTAGAATATTACACTTTGTTGAATTAAATCTAGGGTGTACTCATTTCTGCAATCCTTCATTTAAACAAAATTGGCTAAGTTACTTGTTTTACAGATATTAATGGCATTTATTTGTTTTTAATAAGAATATGTTTAATACATTTCAATTTTGCCATCTTTCTATGAATTATATTAGTGATCATTAAGAAAATACATCTTTTATATTTAATTAGACGTGGTGTATATTTATGCTGTGCGCTGTATATATTTTAACAGAACTTAAGATTAATGTAATTGAAATGTGTAAATGTGCTTAGAAGAAATACATGATCAGAATATTGACTTGCCAAATAATTATGCGTGCACTGTAGTGCGCCACTAAAAATACAAAAGTAAATAAATGAAACAAATGTAAGAAAAATTATGTTAACTGTAGCAGGCGAAATCACGATCACAATTACTTTTACATTATTAGTGTAGTGCTCATGAGCAGTGACTGAAAATTTTGAGTGAGAACAAGGGGCTTACCAGGCACAATAAGCATCGCCACAGAGAAGCTGGCGCTTGAAAAATGCCGTACAAAGACCGAGAGCTCCCTTTTCCTCTTCCTCAGACTCTAAATTACAAATCATGTCCAGAGCCTCTTTGCAGTCAACCTCCTTTATCTGCCAAACAGAATGGAGAGAAGTTAGGTTATAATTTAGGTGTGTGTATATATATATATATATATATATACACACACACACACAC